ACATGAAAGAAAAATGTTTTTCCTAAAAAGTGAAGAAATAAATATTTCCTGTAATCTACAATAAAAAAAATTGCTTAAAATATTTTTTTTCTGTTTAGGTACTTGTTGTAGAAAGTGTAATGAAATAAATACGCCATCACAATTGTTCAACGCAATAAATTCCATTACGTATAGTGTACGCCATATTCAGCTCTCAAAATCGAAATCGCAGATAATCAAATCATTGAGAAGTTTTCTATGTTCTGTGTTCATTCAAGGCGTCGGTGATCATGGCTGTCCAAAATTCCTTGTTCTTTGCAGCTCTTAATAAATTTTACATTTTATTATCTCTCCTAAAGCATGTTCTACCATCCAGTTCGGTAGATAAGTTACGTCGTTTTCTTCTGTCCCTTTTGTCTTCAATATGTTCTGTAACAGATTTTCCAAGCCCTCATTCCTCATTACGTACCATAAAAAAATCAACCGTCTCTTCCTTATGTTAAGTATACAGGGTCCTTTTTCTTTCCATTTTATTTAAACCATCGACGTGGCTCAAATATTCAGTCCATGGTATTCTCAGCATACTCCTGTAGTACCATATTTCTGTTGCTTCAAGTCTCTTCTTTATCTCCGAGGAGATTCGCCAGTATTTACTGTCATATAGGAGGACTAATATTGCGTAACAGTTCAGTGCTCTTTTCTTTGTTTCTAGCGAAATATTCATGTTTCTTATTTTTTTGCATAGCTTCCTTAAAGCAACTTTCGCTATCACATTGCACCTTCGGATTTCAGTGTCACACATTCCCTCTTTTGTTAAAACAATTCCCAGATATTTAAATTGTTGTACTGGTTTGATTATGGTAGCCCCAATTTGAAATTTGCATGTTGGATTATTCCTTTTGGTAAAAACTGTTTTTCTCCCCTTGCAATTGATGCTTAGTGCTTACTTGATTACCTTCTATAAGAATTTATCAAGTTTCTTTTCTGTGTATGCTATCAGCAGTGTGTCGTATCTTATATGATTGTGGCCGCCAATAATGAATCCTGATAGGTCTTGTAATTACCTGAGAACAGCCTTACTGTATAGGTTGAATAAATCCGGTGAGAAGACACATCCTTGTCTTACACCGCTTTCTATTTTTGTATATTTACTGAACTCATTGTCTGTCCGCAAACAGGCGATTTACTGTCAATATAGGTTCTGGGTTATTCTAATATCATTTCCAAACAAAATTATTGTCATACCAGTGATCTGTTTCTGTTATGAAAAAAATAAATTTAATGTCATATGTATTTCTGAGAAATAAGTCAGATCCACTTTGCATACTGAATTAATTTTACTCACGATTGATTCACTTTTCAACTGATTAACAATAAATTCCACTTTTATGTAAGTAGATAATAAATGAATATAAAAGTATGATATTTATCAATCTGAAATTTTATTTTACCTTAATTCGTCTTTTTTATGTGTCCTATACTTACACGGCTTCTTGTCTCTTCAGTGAGTTTTGTGAGTGTTTAATTCCCCAAACATTCTTTCATTGTTTTTTATCATAAAAGTTTCAGCTCTCGTTTTCTAGTTTTAAGTATGTCTATTCTAATTTATCCAACAATTCAACAACATTCCCATTGTTCCTATGTTCAGTTCATTGTATTCGCAACATCTTGTGTAGAACCATCAATCTGTAGCTTCGAATAACTTCTTGATCTATGAGGAAAATCCTCCTCATTCACAGATGTATTAATATAAAAATGAAGTTCAATATTCTTACTCGTTACTAATATACTTTTCCCGTCTCTTAATTAGTTGAGTTTCTGTGAGACATCATTCTATTCCGATGTATCTTCGGATTTTGATATATGTCTATATTTCTGAGATGAGGTAATTATTTACATTATTTACATTTTTCGAACTGTTGTCCTCATCTTTATTGTCATTTCCAGGACGTTTCGGCCGCTGTGCGCTCCGAACTTCTTCAGATGATTGGAATTTCGAACTGAACCCTTTATTTCGTTCAGTGATGTATATTATTCTAGTTCCACGTGACATGCCTCTCCTGGATGCCTCAGTTATCTCCCTTAAACTCAAGAGTTAAGTTAAGGGGAGATAACTGAGACCGCCGGAAGAGTCATGACGGGTGGAACTCGAAGTTTGTTTTTTTTTTCTTTTTTTTTTTTTCATTCTGGTTTATCCTTCTCTGAGACACCCAAGACTATATAATAAGTATAATAGGGTGCGGCAGAAATATCTCCCACATAATAGTAAGGCTAGATAAAGACACCATTAGTACTAATGTCTTACCATTATGTGAGTGTATTTCTTCCGTACACTGTATAATGACAGATGCAACATTATCATATGCTATAAATATTGCATGAATACGCAATTACAGTTGATTAAATCTAAAGTAAATAAAATGCTTTAATATGACGTTATCAATCCTCAAACTTCAAAATATCCCATAAGAACTTTATTATATTATACTCGTATTAATTTTAAATCAAATTAGTTTTACAAAATTAATTCTTGCGCTAAAATAATGGGGTTTTCGAAAAAAGAATTGTTAAACAAAAGAACTTCTCTGAATTTTGGGAATATTTTTATACTTTTAACTTAATTTGAGTAATAAAATCTAACATGAAACGCAATTTCTAACTCAAGGACATGAATATGAAAACATTTATTTTGGGAAAATATTGTCAATGGATTTACTCTTGTGATTATTTAAGATTTTTGATAAAAATGAAGAGAAGAATCTGCAACATTATCCGTTATTTCCTAGCATTCCGACATCAGTTAATTTTCCCATTGCCATAAAAAATAGCTTCCCTGTACCTTTTCTATAAATATTTGCCTAGCAGTTGCTCTAACCAAGCTTTCCTCTTTGGTGCCCCGTCTTCACGAAACCGTAGTACCTGATCAACGGTTACGGCTCATTTTACTTTAGAAATTACTAAATGTAACAATTAGTTCAACTCTAATATATAATTATCTCGCACTTCTCACCTGTTTAACTCTCTTCAGGCTTCTTGCTTTCCTGACAGCTACATTCTTCATAAATGTATATCAATCGTCCTCTTTTGTTTCCTTAAATTCTTTTTATTGTCATTTCTTCTCGGTAACGTTTTCTCAGTTTCTTTCACTCTTAGTAACCCTTTGCATCATAGTGGCTCAATCAACTTGCTTGGGGTAAAATTATTAAAAAAAAAACGCTTATATAGAAAACATCTATTATACGCGAGTTTTTGTTCAAATTGAAAAATAGGGTACTAAGAGTTAGTGCATTTTAACATCAATACAATAGCATAAGTGATATACATTCCCTTACAGCATCAAATAATTATGGTCATCTGCACGGTTCAAGGCCAACAAAAGCAAACATTCTATATTATGATAGTATAAAGTGTCATCTTCAATAGTTGTCAATTTACGCCGAAGTCATTTTTAGAAGTTTCAGTTGATTTTATTAAGGTTCAGAGTTGCAGTTGTTTCAGGTTTATCTAATTGTGGCATTTCTCCAGAAAGAAATGTTCGCTTTAGTTGACGACAGTCTCTTAACACAGACTTAGTGATTAATCTTCAGCACTTAAAATTACCTTCAAGACAACACGCAATAATGTGTATTTAATCATTTTTAGACAAATCTTTGTAAAGTCTCAGACATAAACTCAGTTTAGACCTGATTCCGACAGCTTCAGTGTTTGTGATTTTCGTATAAAATGCCGTTCTTAGTGTCTTCGAGTAACGTTGTTTTTGTTGCCTGATAGTCCAATGTCAGAATAAAGTAACATGTTCCAACGAAAATCCACAATCTTAAGTACACTCCTTCAGACATTATGACCAATATATATGGGTCTTCCATCGCAGAACATCTAATAAGTAGCCATAATTTTCTACTAGTTTCAGTGTGGACTCATTTACCATTCTTAGCAAGTCCCACTCGAATTATGACTTGAAAGTGTTGGAGGCCATTTATATTTTATCGTTGAAGCTCTCTCTGTGTAAACAGAAGGATTTCGTACTGGGCCTCCAACTAATTTCCATCTAAGCAATATATTTTTTCAATACTTATTGCCCATTATCACTAAAATTCTTTTAATGTGTTAATTCTGTTTAATTTATTAACTTAGATATAGCTCTGTTGAGCGACGTTCGAAACCGGTTAGCTTGCCCGTTTTTCAGTTTTACTTTTTATCTATTATCATCATGAGTGGTAATAAAAATAATTTTTGTCTTTTTAGGGCAGTCATATATATATATATATATATATATATATATATATATATATATATATATATATATGTGTGTGTGTGTGTTTTACAAGTTATTTTTAGTAGATAGTTGTATTTGAGTAGGCGCTTCGTTTACTTATTATGCAGTATATTTATTTTCGTCTACCGGCCTGAGTTTCCAGAAAACTTATTAAAGAAATAAATAAAAAAAACACTGTTTAACTAAATAAGCAGAGCGCCTACTTAAAAAGAAGTATCCACTAAAAATAACGTTTAAAAATATGCCGGACAGATAATAATCCATTCTAATATATATATAGTTTTAAGGCATGCTATATTTATGGGTTAAAGTGTCCAATATCAGGGATAGAACATATGTAAATATAAAAGCGAACATTGAAGTCAACACCCAGATGTGATAATCTATTTCATGCTGAATACAATCGTCAAGCCATCGATTGCGTTTCGCATGAAACAGACTGTCGCCTCTTTGTGTTGACGTATAACGCGTATAGATATTAAATATGAAGTCTAGGCTTGCAAATATGTTTATATGCACCCTATAAACAATTCCTGTTCCTTATTCTTACTTAACACCCTTGGATATTCTCAGACTGCTATATTTGTTGCTCCTAATCTCCCCTACAGTATTCTCCTCACTGATGCAGAGACCTCACTTGATATTTTCAATTCCAATTTTAATACTATTGAGTCTAAATTAATATATATATATATATATATATATATTTCTCTTTGTTCATAAAAGGACAATTATTTTCTTTCAGATACCTTGAGAACAAGTTTGGTTGGTCTCCTGGTCCTGGTATGGAAACACATCCCGATATCATGGCTCTGTCGATCATTCTGCTTGCTACCGGAGTTGCTATGATTGGAGCAAAGGTTGGTGAAAAAATATAAGCAGTCAATTGCTATTATTTCTTATTTTGAATTTTATATTTAATGGGATAATGTGCTTGAGAAGATATTAGTGTTATTTTAAAAAGCGAAATTAATGTCAAATGGTGATTGAGAAGTATTATTAAAGAAAACACACCTCCCGTCTGAAGGCCTTTAATCTATCTACATATTTTTTGCGCATTGATATTTAGGTAATTACATCAATAACGTTGGTTCGATACATTGATTTTTGCACAATAGCCAATTTTTCAGTAATTACTTCTTTGGTTTAACATGTTAAACAATGACTAGATGAGAGTGGTCAGAATTAGTTCAAAATAATAAATTATTTCCTACGAAAACTCTATATGTCGAAAATCTAATCTTCGAAGAAAATGACATTTTGATTAGATGTACAGTTCCAACAAATGGAAAAAGATTGCAAATAACTTGAACACGTCATGATCGTCTTGGAAAAATAGACATGTAAGAAAACTATTTGCATCAAGAAATCACTTTTATTATATAAACTCAAAAACGTTTGTTTTGTTTTTACTTAGATCATTCCAATATTGCTACAAAATGCATCTAAGCCGAACACAAAAACATCTTATCGACGTTATGACTCAGAAATATCGGTAATGTGATTTCTCATACCTTTCTCCTAATTACTATTTAGACAATACTTGAGAAAGCTGTAATATTGACCTCTTTTAACAGATGTAAAGTATTGATTCCTTGTGCAATTCAGAACAATCCAAAAGAGTTTCACGTTCGCTCTTGCTAATTTATATCAGATATATATATATATATATATATATATATATATATATATATATATATAGATATATATTAGGAAATCCGCAAGTAAAGGAAATATTGTCTGATTTATTTCAGATATTCAAGAGGTGTTACTCCCATAAAATATTTATTTTGATGGTTTTATTCATAGAGAGATTAATAAATCTAAATAAGGAATTAAGTTCTGTAAGGAAACCAATGTATGTGATGAGAGCGTCTGCCTTGAAAAACCCTAATTATAACAATATTAATGGAAGATACAAAAAGTCTGAAACCTGAAAAGAAAATTAGCTATCCCCTACCAATATAATCATCATAATTAATCTTATTACTCAGTGCAGTAAAAAGTATTGCTTAAATGCAGGGCTGGCCTAACTTTGCTTCTGTTTGCGGGGGTAGCCAGTCAGTGAGAAGGAAAACTGAATTCAAACACAGGCTAAAGAGAGATGGATTCCGTCAGACACTTACCCTAGACACACCAATACTGCTATGGCTGCAGTATATATTGTGCTGATGTAAAACTAATGGTTTACTGGACTAGTGTTGTAACGTGAAATATACTTTTCGAATGTTTGTCATTTGATGTAATATAACCAGCCGTCCGTGAGAAAAATATAGCATAGATTTCCAAGTGTTATTCTAATATTATGACTCATAATTAATTAATGATCAATAATACTTAGGACACGAACAACACATATAAGATTCGACAGCGGCGGGTAGAAGTAGTCAACTGCTAGAAATGAGTCAAGTGAATTCCACAATGAATCTCCAACTGCAGGAAATCTCCCAGCCGCCCACGGGTCAGATGTTTCACAAGGCCGAATTTAATGTGGGGTATCGGAGTCCGTAGGCTCAGCAAAAATTCCCCGTAGACCCCGTATAGTAGCTGTTTCCCGAGACGTGACTCTGCCCTTCGACATGGCATCGTCTGGGGATCATCTGTCCTCAGAGGCAGAGAGTTAAAGCAACACAGCTGGAGACCAATCTCCAATCACTGACCAATATACAGTATTTAGTACTGTATTTACGCAAATAGGGATATATATATGTCCACCATATAGTTCAGTAATGTTTAATTTAACATGAAAACGAGAAAGATCGCCCATTATGGTCCGTAGGTATGCTTCAACAATAATAGAAATGGATTAAACGCAACTAAAACTTGTACTCTACCGTTTATTGTGCAAAGATCTTTGTTTTCGTTTTCTCCTATTAATTAGAACTTCAATTTTTTTCTAAGGAGATTGAATTATTGCCAGTTATAAAATTATATTTGTTCTTTTGCGTTTGAATTTAAAATTTATTTAAATCTTTGGCTGATGAAGAGACTAAATGTCTCGAAATATAACAAAATTCAATAAAAAATATATTTGACTCTTTACAACAATTTTATCGTGTCCACTATATAGTTCAGTAATGTTTAATTTAACATGAAAACGAGAAAGATCCTATCCATTGAATTTAATGAAGCTGATACATTTAAAAGCTGAAGGATAATTTGAAATTTATATTTTATAACGTTCGCTTTGTGATTTATGAATATGTGCTAGCTTATGTAGATTGGCAAGAAAGGAACTTACGTGAAGAAATAAATACTTCATGTAGAAAACTTATTTTATTTATCATATATAAGCAATTTATCTAACAATAGTTCCATTAAATAAAAAAGAAAAAGAAAAAATATAATAGTTCCATTAAATAAAAAAGAAAAAATATAATAATGATTTAGAGAAGTCTTTAACAAACGCCCAATGCTTATATACCGTATAAACCTAGTTGCTCAGGACACTAAAGTTAAAAAAGTAGGATCAACAACAAATTGAACATAACATACTAAATAATATAGTTCATTAAAAAATAGTAAACGAACTCTCACATGAATATGCGGAAGGTTATAAAAGCTAACACGCGAAGCACGATAATTAGAAAAACCTAAAATGACGGCAAAACAAACAAAAAGGATTTGAAAATGACTAGCGTTAGCTTAAATTGCTTAGACATTGGAATATGTATTTATAACTACGAACTGAATGTCAGGAGAAAATAGACCCTTGAAAAGTAAATATAAATGATTAACAAGCGAATTGTTGTTTTTTAATCAAATGTGCATAAATTAAATATTACTGCCCAAATACGCCCAGTCCACACACACACACACGCGCGCGCGCGCGTGTATATGTGTGTGTGTGTGTGTGTGTGTAATTTCTCTATATATTATATATGCGTGGTACTTACTGGAAAGTGATCAATATCATTGATAGATCTAACATATTTAATTGCGTTGATGTGTGTTTGTGATACTGGTTTCCACTCCCTTTGCAATTTGTCTGACGATCGCAAAGGGCGTGAAACCCTTAGTCACAAAACACATGAACGCAACTATATATATATATATATATATATATATATATATATATATATATATATATATATACGCTTTTTGAAGTCAATGATTAAGTTCATGATGATTTAAGGAAACGTCTTACTATCGAAGTGATCATGCTAAATCCAACATTTCCCGTGGTTTTAAACTCGATATGAACACCGATTCCCGTCCAGTAGCCGATGTTAATCAACGTCGTGCCTGGTCAGTACCAAGAGGTGTGACCTCTTAGGAATACCAGGTGCTGTTAGCTTGGATGTACCGGTGGTGTAATGGATAATGGTCTTGCGAAAAGTATGAATCAAGCTCTTCTTCCCTGCTATGGGTTAATTAGTAAGATTTGTATCACTAATTCTTTATATAAGACAAAAAGTTATTACAAACATTTAAATAGCCTACAAAGTGTTGATAAGAAACAATAAAAAAAAATCTAGACGTGACCAAAGAAACGGAAAACGTTCCAGTTACACAGGTAACTAGTTACACTGCCAATTTTACGATTATATTTCAGTTATTTCCTTGCAAATAAATCTTGTTATAAAATATTCGAAAAAAATTAATGATTATAATTATGAAGCATTATGGAGAACAGAATTAAATGGCGAAATGTTTAAGCTTGAGTACGTAATTATTGATGTTTTCCATAGTGCGTTAATTGGTCTTAAACTTTTGTATTCTAGCTTAATTTAAGCATCTGAACTAATGAAATAAGCTTGTCACTGGAAATTAAACATTGCTATGGTTCAGAAGGGATGTACATTCAGTGGTTCCCAAACTTTTTTTTTCTTTAGACCGCATTTTTCGAATTAAAAATGTTCGCGCCTCACCATATTTTATGTGATACATTTAAAAATTAAAAAAAAAAACAGAGAGTTAAAGGGAGATAACCCCGGATTTGAAGTCAGAACATGATCATTCATAACTCTCTCCTACAATTTGCGGACCCTAGTTACTATATCCTTAACACATGATATAATGGAAAAATATCACAATCATAAAATCACTAATTACTTATAACAATTTATACTGGGACTCAGATATGAAATTACAAGGAATCCATAATAATATTTTAAATTTTGAAATCTTTTATTTATGACTTATGAATTTTCTGAAAGTGTTTCTAAATCTTTGAGAGTCTTTCAATCATTCCGCTTCACCTGCTATCTTCTTCTGTCGCACCTGTGAGGTGCGGTGCACCGTTTGTGAACCACCGTAGACATATTCAACAGACATATGTAGAGAGAACGATAACAGCGTAGGAGGGTATTCAAATTAATACTAATACAATACAGCTCACGTGAAAATAAGTATATGCTTCTGTACTTTACAGGTATTTTCTGATCGTCAAAACAAAAAATTTCAAATATTGTTTCCATCTTTTTTGTGCCACTTTATGATATCGACGTTTTTACTATTACTCCTCTGGTAATACAATCTATTCGTTATGCATTCTAAATGTAGGTTGTCCGTCTTTCGTGAAAATGACTGCAAGACTTTGACTGATGCAGATATAGGATGACAAAAGCTGTCAATGTGCAATTTTGTCTAGTTGGTTTACTGGACAAAGCGGCGCCCCTTCAGTTAAACGTTTTACATGTCAGCAGAGTTTACTGAATTAATTGCCCGAAACCGAATGTCGTGTGCAGAAAGATACAATAGATTTGAATTTTGAAAGTCAATTGTTGCTTTTTAAAATTCCAAACACACGTCAATGCAAGAGAGAGGTGACGCACGTGAATTTCCTCAATGACATAGGAATTGATGCATAGCCCGGAACATGTATAAAACGTTGTAGAATCTGATATTTCTCGTGTAT